CCGTCTGGTTGTTTCCTAAGGACAAATAAAAGGTATAAAAAATATTAGATGTCCGCCTGACAGGCGAGGTTAGGCATACCAGATTGTCAAAAGCAATAGTCTACTTTGGTCATAGCATAGGTCGGCTTTACTTAGTCCTACACCTTTTGGTATTAAAACGAACAAGGCCGATTTCGTCAAGTTTACTGTACAATAGAAGCTTCTATATACCGGTAGTTTAGAGCACGACAAAAAGCAGCCTCCTAAATGAACGAAAGCGGTGACAAATACAAAGACAAAGTTTAATCAAAAGTATGAAGACCAAGATGGTCTGGCCTATTTTGTGGTCGCAGTCTCCTTCCGTTGTATAGAAGTTGTTTGACCTTGTTTTCGCGACTTGGTCATATTGATAGAAAGACTTATAGGAACGCACCTTGTCCTGAGTCCATTGTATGCATTATTATTTCCAAAGTTGGACCGTGGACGCGGTACATTCCCAAACTCTTCGCCAGCATCGTAGTCGGCATCATCAGTGAGTATCGCCGTTCGTAGACAAGTGAAGCCCATCCTTTGAACAAACGTGTGCTAAACAGTTATGGTATCTCGCCTTCTGCCCTGGCCTATTCACATTTCCTATATCCTCCTATCAAGTCTTCCTACCAATATGAGCAAGTTGCGAAAACAAGGTCAAACAACTTCTAAAGACTAAGTTTGTTGAATCAGGCTCCATTTTTAGTGTACGAGGAAGGTAGATTTCCCGTTGTTATCTGTCTCCCGGCTTGCTTGGAACGTTCAGATTGACACTGCCCTGGTGACAATCTTCCTTGGTCTCGGCGAAAATATGTCGAACGTTCCACATATGAAAAGAGGATGGGCTTCAAAGAATCCAATATCGGGTTGATGATAATGTATCAAGAAAGGTTTATTGTTTTGAATAAACTTTTCTTAAATACCGATGGTTTGGCATAGGTCTTCTTCACATAACGTTACTACAGTGTCCGGCAACACCAGTTTTTTTAAAAGCGAAATAAAATAGAACCCATCATTTATTGAAGATTCTAGACGGTTAGTATCGAAACAAGTAAACATTAATAGACATACATCAATATTCTAGGTTGCGATATGATATAGAATAGTCGAAAATTCATGAATTTTGATCGTACTTACAGCATTTAATGATAAGCTTGAGTTTTTTTGTCCTTGTGGCTGTAAGAATGGTACCCCATACTAATTATGTCTGTCAAGCGATATGACAAGCGGAAGCACCGGAAGATCAACCATAACTACGAATCTCTTCATCATATAGTTTCGCTCGTAAGAGATGTATAATTGTAAACCGAAAGATTCCCTCAACATTAATTGTTCTCCTCATAAAGAGACAGCGCTTATTTCTGCTAATGCTTCAGTGATTCTTCTGATCTGCAGGAATTCAGAAGTCTGGATGTATACAATTGCATGAGCGTTTCAGTTAAATTGGGACGCTGCTTTCTAGACTCCTTCTTGCCACTTTTTGAGCCGATGTTTCATGGAACCCAAGATTTCTCCCATGTTGAATGCTTGAGTACGGATCTAGTACGCAGTTATAGAAAGGATTATTTTTTATCAAGACTTAAATTATACTTAGAAGGCATCGGGGTGGGATTCAAGTTACTTTCAGGCAAGAAGAAATATCGAGCTAAGTTGATAGTAATCCAATTGATAGATTTAAGGCAGCCCATTCAGCAGATAACTTCTTCTAACCATAAATTTTGCACTGTCGGTTTATTTTCTTGTAATTCTTTAACACTTATGTCCTTAGGTGATACTTCTGGATGACCATCAATCGAGTTGGCAAGCCTAGTATCCTTATTATCTGACGACGAAAGGCTCAGGTCTCTTGAAAGAATCTCCCTAATATTTACAGAAAATATTGTTTTGGAAAGGTTCTCACCTTTATAGCTCATTTAATTCATAACGAAGTCTCTGTCTTGATTCTTATTACCAAACTTCAAAGACATTTTCATGATCACTTCTCCCATGTTTTTGACTATCGTAACTCTTGAGTGACATTGCTTATAGGGTCCTTTGAGTTAAGAGTGTTGGAGAATGCTTGACTTAAGCTAGTTTTTGCAATGAGCAAAGAATGGAAAATTTTATTCGTCTCATAAAATCTAATAAAACATCAAAGGCATGATATTCTCCGCATTTTTACACGATTAAAAATGGGGAAAAACCTGTTTCAATGCCACCGCATCTATTCTAATTATCTGAAGATATATAGGAAATGCATGAATTAATTAATTATATCATTAGATATTCATTAAATAGGAAAAGTTAGCGGGTAGAATCGCAGCAGGCCGCATTTCTTCTCTTAATATTTTGTAAGGTCTCCTAAAGGATGGATTCAGGCACTGAGGGTGTCTTGACTGACTCCGCACTTATCCATCGGGATCACAGGAAGATGCACTAAGGAAATCTTTACAAATGTCAATGATTACAGCTTCCTAGATTCAGCAACGTGAATTTAGTAGAGGATTCTTCGAAATCCAGTTTTCCTCATATCTGAAAGTCATGTCTTTTTACAATTATTGTGTAAGTACTCAACAATCATATTTGATCAGACATATTGAACAGACTAGGGCAAAGCATCCGGTCACAAGCTTAAAATATTTTGACATGACTATTTTGAGAACTGTACCAAATAAATGAGTTTGAAGACGTATACTGTCAAGTAGTGCTTTTTAGCCTTTATGTAAGCTTGATACTTAATTCTCATTATTTCATATATTACTGAAAATCTTTTGAAATCTGACTTATTTAAATGAAGTCTCAACCCACTCTTTTTCTTTTCAATGTTTTCTTAATTTTCGTCATTCATTCTTAGCTCAAGTCGCCTCTAGCAATCGACTGTTGAGCCCGATATACAAACAACTATTAATAGCCCTTATGAAATATCATGCTCAACAAATATTTTCGAGTCTAACCCTCTACAGATAAGCCTCTATGAGAGTGGTATTGTAGTGAACCAACATAGCACTTCTTTTATTTCATCATCAGTTCTCTAGTCAATTCCCATTTTATATGCGTTCAGGAGCCAGTTTAGCAGAACCTAATGATTTTTTCTTTTTGCATTTTCTTTTAGGCGACACATGCACAGTGATTTCCCAAAAGGAGGACGTGGAATGTCATCGACTGAACCATGGCCAATTGATAATCTTCCGTTTTCCTGAGGCTTCAACGAGTGACCGTTACCGTCTTTATGCCCGCCCGATAGGAGTCACGGGACACGGTAACGCGGCTGCTGAAGGAGCGAAGGAGTCAGATCTCATACTTATTGCTGAAGAGGAAACACAAATGGGTCTGGAGTATATTATACCTAGTAGGAATGCTGATACTTTTTTTGCCTTATCCGCTATTTAAGTACGTGGTTTTAGCCCCGTGATGCCTATTCTGCTAATTTAACATATGATCGAAAATTTGAGGCTGATTTTCGGTGAGTCCTTCTTGCGGCACCGCTCTCAGAAGTTCTGCTCCGAGCATACAATATTTCTTGAACGACTCAATTCGCATACTTCCCTACCATTTCCATTCGGCCATATTGGGAGTTATATTATGCGTGGATTATCTCGGGGTCCAGATAAGCAGGAGAGAACTCGGTCCTGTCTTTTGCCAATTTCACCAAAATGTTCAATTTGCTATTCGTCCTATAGCTCATAAGGCCGAGTTCTTTCTTATTTTGGCATAAACTACCTGACCCCTGCTGTGTCTGCACTCCTGACCACCCATTTCCGACATTCCTAAGGTCAGCCATACCTCTGAAAATCATCCTCTGGCTAGAGTAGCCAAGAGGTGTATCGGGGCTTGATAACTATGTTGCGTTTTTCCGCTAAATACTCGGAATTGTGGCATCCTGTTTTTTCTGTTCATGGCATGAGTTGAGTATGTTTCGAAGTCTCCAACAATTCTTGACTAATAGCTTATCCATTAAATATAATAGAAAAGCCTTCAAAAAATATGTGATTAGACCCATGAAGCTATTGTAGCTCACTTAGCCTTTCCTTCCGAAAGTTTTGTTTTCCTGAACAAATTGCTGTTTCGACCTCGCCTCGATCTCTTGGCGCTCGTGACTGTGTGACAGAGTGAGAATTTATTGCCGAGCTACGCACGACTTCGTTTAAAGTCCCATTAAGATAGCGGATAAAACCTAGGCTAGTCCATCCTGAATGGGAAAACTTTTTTGTGAGACTTTTGAGAAATTCTCCACCATAAGTCATTAAATCACCCTAAGCGACTTAAAGCGACTAAATTCTTCTACACTTTTAACTTTGCCGACTTACTAGTCTAGGAGCTACAGTCCTCGTTGTCATTTCTTGTGAGACTAGATACATTTGAGGGATGAAATACGGGAGCAGCGAGTCTACTCGTTGTTGCATTTTCTAGTGCCTGATACGGCAGATCGACAATCACTGCTTAAATAAGAATCATGACCAGACCCGTTCATTTTCATACACTCTGCTCTATATAAAGCTAGTTTGGAGGCTGCAAGCCATCTGGACAGAAGTGCTAGGATGTATCAGAGATTCCAGTAAAGTTCTAAGACACATCTTTTTGTGAATATGATGTCTGAAGAGAGGCATATTTTTGCACGTTTTTTCCGGTGCAGACAAGCTAAACTTACCTGGAGAATACCGTTTCACATCTGCAAAGGTATCAACTAATCACATTACTCTTCCTCCCAATAAACTTGAGATTTATCATCATTAAATGTAATCACTCGCTTTAAAAAGGATTCCTGAATATATCAAGGATAGAAGGATCGTTTGCAAATGCACGAGGGGTCTAGTAATGACAATTCAACTATCAATACAGATCAATGATCCTGGTAGCATCACAAGTTATTTGTAAAAGTAAAAAAATAAGTAATATCAGCCACCGTATTTTAACACTTATTAAATCATCCTGGAGTGAGGAATCCCGCCCAATATTTCTGTGCTATAAGCCCAACAGGTTTCGTAAAATTATTACTTTTGTAATAAGAATATTTGCCTCATGCAATGAAGTTGGATTACATTTATTTTTGAATAATTTGAAGCTTAGAAACCTGCGCTATAGGATTACGTAACAGTTAATATAGTTTTATATATATGGACTGGTTTTAAAGACAAGATTTGAGCATGAAAAATAAGTTAAAGTCAAATATTGTCAGATTAGGGTAAAACTGGAGTGCCAGAGAATTTCACACCTGCCACCTTATGCCCTATTGAGATTAAAGTTTCAATAAAATTTAACTTTTAAATCAGGCACATGCAATTTTTCATAGATAGCTCGGATATAAGCCCATGAAATAGCTTTAGCTCAAATATATTTCTTTGTACTATGATATTTTGACTTGACGCTAATATTCCCCTGCAAACTGGAATCAGCTAGCCCCGGGAACTATTCTTTAGTCAATCTTCGATGAGTCAGAAACTAGTGATTTTTACGGAAAAATATGAGCAGATCCATACAAGTTTTCAGTTTATAAATGGTGTGAGATCATATTTTCTTCTTGGAAACTTAATATCACCATCTTTTCTGTCCCACTTGGAGTAATTAAAAGCGGAGCTTTGAGCCAACTAATTAACGCTAGAAAAACACTGCGCTTAAATAAGTGAACTACCAGAATAACAGGAAATTTTGCATTCTATGCATTGATCTAATGGTCATAGTCGGCGCCTTAATTCCTCGAAAAGTGAATACGCAATATAACTCGATGACAATGATATATGAATTAGTGAAAGTAATAATTGTTATAATCGAAGGTATGAATACCAAGACAGTGTAGCCTTTTTGTGGTCGCAGTCTCCTTTCGTTGCATAGAAGTTGTTTGACCTTGTTTATGCAACTTGGTAATATTGGTAGGAAGACTTAGAGGAACACACCTTGTCCTAAGTCCATTATATGCATAATCATTTCCAAAGTCGGAGCGTGGACGTGGTCTTGTCTCTTTTGACGAGTTGTTGTATGGTGCTAAGAATGGCGATACTCACTGACGATGTCGACTACGATGCCGGCGAAACGTCTGGGAATGTACCACGTCCATGTTCCGACTTTGGAAATGATGATGCATACAATGGACTCCGGACTTGGTGCGTTCCTCTAAGTCTTCCTACCAATATGACCAAGTTGCGAAAACAAGGTCAAACAACTTCAATAATTGTTATACTTTCTAAAGTGTCCATCCATCTGTAGATTAAGCGCTTTACATCAGGCTTGATATGAATCAGGAAAAATTATGAGAGTGAAAAGTTCCAGATTTATCTAGCCCTAGGTTGCTGGCGGCTTAGTTACCGGGGTGAAAGAGCTGCGGGTAGACGAAGGGGAAAATTTAAATCTAATTTAGAAGATTGATTTTTATAAATAGGTCAAAACACTGACTTTTTAGCTTAATACATTCGCAATTAAGGTGGAAATCACTCATTGTTTCCCGCTCCATGGTAGGTGGATGCAGGTTAGGCCATTCTTCATAAATCAGACTCAAACCTCTAAGCCAATTTGTGGCTCATTATAGGCAGGCGGAAATACTTTTCCGAGCTAATCACACTTTTTGAAGTGGCCTTTTTGAATTGTTGCAAACATTATGGTATGGTTCCCCGTTTCTACAATCTAATGAGGAAGTGTCATTCGGACACAGTGAATGAAATACTTTATCACTCCTCCATCCAGAAATTAAAGGAAAGTCACGAAACTGAGAGGAGTAAGCTATTTAAGTTCATAGATCTCAAGTCTAGATTAAGGAAGGATCTAGGTATGGTTGTCACTTTGGATGATTTTCAAAAAGTCCAGAGCATGACGGACCAGAAGCCACAGAGGGTTAGGGATCAGATAAATAAGCGGCATGACAAGAAATTGCTTAGCTATGGGATACTAAGAGAGAGCAAGACCAAGCCAACCCGGGCAAATTTTGTTGGTTCTTTATGGAAGGCGTCAACTGCTACAGACGACGATAGGACAAAGGTGGTAAACCTATCTTCAATCCCTCTGGATTCCAAAACTACAGATTTTTTAAAGAAGGGGCTACATTTTTCACCAGGTAATGAAGGTAACGCTCTTAGTGCTATTCTGGTGGAGGTTGTCAAAATAACGGATAAATATCCAGAAGATACAAGGCAAAAGATGGACTGGAAATAATCCCACGAATCATGACGCATCAAGAACCTATACACAAAAAAATACAAAGGAATGATCGAATAATTCTTCAGGCGGATAAGGGATGGGCGACGGTTGTAATGAACAAGAAACAATACACGGAGAAAATGGAAAGTAACCTTGACGACCGGAACTCTTATCAAATACTAGGCAAGGATCCAACCACGAAGATCAACGGTACACTGAAGAATATGCCCAAGGAAATGCATTATAATGGGGAAATTGACAGATGAATGATTAAATCTTAAATAAAAAATGAGGCAAGACCACCGACAGCCTACGGACTACCGAATATACACAAGGAAAAGAATCATCTAAGACTAATAGTCAGCAACAAGCATGGAGCAATGCATAAACTAGCGAAATTCATTTGCTTGAAGCTCAAGAAAGTAAATGACAGA